CAGGTTTGAGTCTGACAATATTAAAGACACCCAGAAGCTATGTACAGAGATGCCTATGCTGCTATATACAGATGAGGAAATGCTAAGCACCAGATTCAGGTTATTTTCTAAAACTAATACTAAGATGATTTCTTTCTTTCTACTCCTTTAGCAAATCTTTGCTTTGTAACTCCACTAAGTACAAGCCTTACATGTGTGAACAAAACATAGCCTTTATTCAGATGATGCAAAAAATGTAGAATGTTGGATCAGGTAACTGAAGTTTCTTCCATTGCATATATCTGTAGTTAGGTGACATGAACTGGCTCATATTTCTTATTCATGAACTCTACTGCATGACAAGCAGAATTCACCTGAATCTTAAACTGTTACAAGCCATTAATACATTCTGCATGGATTTAGATAAACTATATCATAGATAAATTATATCATAGAAAAGGTTCATGCAGTGGCTGCTTCACACACATTAAGGCTTTTGGATTCCAGTTCCTATGGCCTGAGGCAGTCTTTGCATATGATCTTTATTTCCCTTTCCTCTTTTAAGACTTAAGAAAAATCAGATTTTTGAAATAAATCTCACACTGTCAAGTGACTTTTTTGTCTTCATATAGACATGGATTTTTTTTTTTTTGTCCAAACTTGTATCTGCCGTTGGAGGGATACACATGCATAGACACATTCATGTCATGTTTAAGCCCTTCACCTTGATTCTGGGTCTAAGTTGGAATAGAAATAGAAACACATAGCATTTTAATAATAGCTTCCCCTGTTCATAGCATCTCCAGGGCATTGCACTACAGTATTAACTTCTAAACTGCCTTTTTACCTTCTTAGGCTGTTTTAATAATATTATTCAGCATAACATCTCTTGCTTTAACAATACATTCTTTCTCATTTACCCTTTCACACTGGTTTCTTTAGAATACTTTTGTCATGAGTTGATTAGTATTTATTCTTGGAACACTTTTAATTTGCTAACCAAGATCTTTAAAATACAGTCCCCATATTCAAACATACAAGGTATGAATAGGGCTCAAATTCTCCCATTTGAAATCTGAGATTTCATAATTTGGGGATGACAAATTCTGAATAAGTAGGAAGTTGAGGAAGATTTTGAAAAATATAAAGTCTACATTCCTTTATACTTAAAAAAACCTGTAGTATTTAAAACTTGACTAATGTAATGACAGAAAACATTCAAATAGAAAAGCCAATTATAATAAACTGAATTTAAAATGATTCCCAGTATAGCAGAAATACAGAGTGTACATCAATTCAAGTTACAGTCATAACATGTTCCCTGAAGGTAGAGAAATGTTCGAAATCAAGACAGCAACAGCAAGCCTGCCATGATTTCTCCAGTTCCTAAATTAGATAATTATACAATGTACAAAAGACAAAAGTACATAAAACAGAAAATATGAATAGAAAGCAAAACAATGCCTGAACCAAGCTTATTTTCCACTCTTAATCTATTTATTTATATTCTTATTTTTTTCCAGAAATGACTTAAACCATCTTAGAATGATAAACAAAATATGACAAAAGTGTATAAAGCTGAAAGAAATAAAAGAGTAAACACTGAAGAGAGAAAATGGCAACAGGAATACACCAAAATGCATGTTATAATAAATCACTTGCTAATGCTGAGTCATACTTTTAGCTTTAAGCTTTCAAAAGGACATTTTTCTTTTTGTATAACTCACCTAAAAATTATATATAACATATTAAAATTTGTATAACAGAATATTTATGGAATACAACACACAACATATGATTAATACCAAGGGAGGATTTTAACTGATGAAGCTCATCAGAGACTGTAGGCAGGTGCCTTAAATGATGTTCTCAACAATATCCTTATAATGGATACAATGGTAAGTTTAATAGAGTAGCTCCTCCTAATGCATAAATACATCCTTGGAGCATCACCAATGGCCAGTCGTTGAGGGATGATCCACAGGATTACCAACTGAAAGCATAAGAATTCTGTTCAGAAAATTATTTTAAATCATAGAGAAATTCAAAGGAAACCCAAATATGATGATAGAGTACAAAAATGCATTGAGGGTAAATTAAAAATATAACTGATATAGAAGAAAATCAAAACAGTGATATGGAGAACACATATTAAAGGGCATGATAGAATGCAGGAAAAAAGTACATAACATGCCTCCAGGATTATAACTAAGAATAGATGTTAGCCCTTTATCAAATAAATGATTTGCAAATATTTTTTTCCTATTCAGTAGGTTGCCTTTTCATTTTTTTCGATGATCTTTTCTGTGTGGAAGCTTTTTAGTATGGCATGGTCCAACTTGCTTAATTTTGCTTTTGTTGAATGTGCTTTTGGTATCATATTCAAAAATCATTGACCTCTGTTAAGGAGCTCTCTGCTTATTTTTTCTTCCGGGAGTTTATGGTTTCTGATCTTAAGTTCAAGTCTTTAATCCATTTTCCGTTCCTTTTTGTGTCTGGTGTTAAGATAATGGTTGAGTTTCATTCTTTTGCATGTGGCTGTGCAGTTTTCCCATTTATTAAAGAGTTTTTCCTTTCCTCATTGTATATCCATGGCTCTTCTGTCATAAATTAATTGACTATATATATATAGGTTAATTTCTGGGCTCTGTACTCTGTTCCATTGGTCTATGTGTCTGTTTTTATGCCAATACCATACTGTATTACTTATTATAGCTTTGTAATAGAGTTTGAATTCAGGGGCCATGATGCCTCCAGCTTTGTTTTCTCTAAAGATGGTTTGACTATTCGTGTTTTTGGGTGATTTCATATAAATTTTAGGATTATTTGTTCTATTTCTCTGAAAAGTTCCAGTAGAATTTTGATAGGAATTATATTGACTCTGTAGATTGCTATAGATAGTACGGACATTTTAACAATATTGATTCTTTCAGTTACGAACAGAGTCATTGGTGTCATCTTAATTTCTGTCCTTGATGTCTTTTAGTTTTCAGTATGCAGGTCTTTCATCTCCTTAGTTAAATTTGTTCCTAGGTATTTTATTCTCTTTGAGGCAATTGTAAATGGGATTGCTTTCTTTCTTTGTATTTCTGATAGTTCATTATTAATGTACAGAAAACAACAGATTTTTGTGTGTTGATTTTGCATCCTTCAGCTTTACTGAATTTTTTTTTTTATTTCTAACAGGTTCTTGAGATCTTAGGGTTTTCTATATATATCATGTCATCTGCAAATAATAACAATTTTGCTTCTTCTTTCCAATTTTTATTCCTTTTATTTCTTTATATTGCCTACTTATTCTGGCTAGGATTTTCCAATTCCATGTTGAACAGAAGTGGCAAAAGTGGGCATCCTGTCTTGTTCCAGACCTTAGAAGAAAGGCTTTCAGCTTTTCACCATTGAGCATGAAGTTAGCACTAAGCTTGTCTAGTATGGCCTTTATTATGTTCAGGTATGTTCCCTCTATATCCACTCTGTTGAGAGTTTTTATCATAAGTGGATATTGAATTTTGTCAGATGCTTTATCTGTATCTGTGAGATGATCATATGATTTTCACTCATTACTTTCTTAATGTGGTGTATCACATTGACTGATTTTGGATGTTTGCATCCCTGGAATAAAACCCAATTGATCATGGTGCACGATCTTTTTAATGTATTGTTGAATTGAGTTTGATAATATTTTGTTGAGGATTTTTGCATCTATGTTGATCAGAGATTTTGGCCTGTAATTTTTTTTCTTGTTAGATCATTGTCTGGTTTGGGTGTCAGGGTAATGTGGCCTCATAAAATGAGTTTGGAAGAATTCTGTCTTCTATTTTGAGGAATAGTTTGAGAAAGATTGTATTAATTTTTCTTTGAATGTTTGGTAGAATTTTCCAGTGAAGCCATGTGCTTCTGGAATTTTATTGGGACGTTGTTGTTGACCGATTCAATCTCCTTACTAGAAATCTGTCTGTTCAAATTTTCTATTTCATATGATTTAGTCTTGGTAGGTTGTATGATTTTAGGAACTTACCTATTTCTTCTAGATTGTCCAATTTTTTGGCATATAATTGTTCATATTAGTGTTTGAATATGCTTTGTATTTCAACAGTATCAGTGTAACATCTCCTCTTTCTGATTTTATTTATTTGAATCCTCGTTTTTTCTTGGTGAGTTTATAGGCTTGTAATTTTGTTTATCTTTCCAAAGAAACAGCTCTTAGTTTCATTGGTCTTCTATTTTGTCTTTTTTGTCTCTATTTCACTTATTTCTGTTCTAATCTTTGTTATTTACATTCTTGTTACCAATTTTGAGCTTCAAATGTCCATCTTTTTCTAGTTCTTTAAGGTATACAGTTAGGTTGTTTGCGACTTCCCTTGTTTCTTAAGGTAGGCATTTATTGCTCTAAATTTCCTGATTAGAACTGCTTTTGTTGCATACCTTAAGTTTTGGTATATTTCAATTTTCATTTCTTTCAAGGTGTTCTTTTGATTTTTCTTTTGAGTTCTAATTTGACCCATTGATTTTTCAGTAGCGTGTTGTTTGATCTCCACTTATATGTGAATTTTCAAGTTTTCTTCATGAAATTAATTTCTAATTTCATACTGTTACAGTCAGAAAAGATGTTTGGTGTAATTTCAATCTTCTTAAATTTATTAAGACATACATTGTGGCCTAACATATGATCTATCTTGGAAAATGTTCCATGTGCACTTGAGAAAAATGTGTATTCTGATGCTTTTGGGTGCAATATTTCTATGTATCTGTTAAGCCCATCTAGTAGTTTAATGTGTCTTTTAAGGCTGATGTTTCCTAATCATTTTCTTTCTCAATAGTCTATCCATTAATGTAAGTAGGGCATTAAAAATCACCTACTAGCTGCGGGAGGCGCCGCGCGGGCGGGCGGGCGCGGGGCCCGTTGTTGCGGCGCAGGTGAGGCGGGCGGCTCCGAGCGGCCCTCCGCGCGGTCTTTCTTCGCGAGCCGAGGAGTTTGTTTACCGACAAGCCCGCCGGGAGCGTTTCTAGCTGCCGCCTCGGAGCGTCTCCCCGGCCGCCGCCGCCGCGGTGGGCCCGCGGACTATTGCTCAGAAGAGAAGATGTTTGGTTTTCACAAGCCAAAGATGTACCGGAGTATAGAGGGCTGCTGTATTTGCAGAGCTAAGTCCTCCAGTTCTCGATTCACCGACAGTAAACGCTATGAAAAGGACTTCCAGAGTTGTTTTGGGTTGCATGAGACTCGTTCAGGAGACATCTGCAAAGCCTGTATCCTGCTTGTCAAAAGATGGAAGAAACTGCCAGCAGGATCAAAAAAAAACTGGAATCATGCGGTAGATGCGAGGGCAGGACCCAGTCTGAAGAATACATTGAAACCAAAGAAAGTGAAAACTCTGTCTGGAAACAGGATAAAAAGCAACCAGATCAGTAAACTGCAGAAGGAATTTAAACGTCACAATTCTGATGCTCATAGTACCACCTCAAGTGCCTCTCCCGCTCAGTCTCCTTGTTACAGTAACCAGTCAGATGATGGCTCAAATACAGAGATGGCTTCTGGCTCTAACAGAACGCCCGTTTTTTCCTTTTTAGATCTTACATACTGGAAAAGACAGAAAATATGTTGTGGGATTATCTATAAAGGCCGTTTTGGGGAAGTCCTCATCGACACACATCTCTTCAAGCCTTGCTGCAGCAGTAAGAAGGCAGCTGCCGAGAAGCCGGAGGAGCAGGGCCCAGAGCCTCTGCCCGTCTCCACCCAGCAGTGGTGACTGAGGTGTTTGCAGAAGGGGAACCAGAAAACCATCTACATTTTGGAAAGGAAACAGAGCAACAAAATCCTGATATTTTTAACCTGGATTACCTGCTATTATGCCAAAAGACAATTTCTAGAATAGTTTTGAATGGGTTATTTCTCTTCCAGTTCCACAAACTCTGAAGCCAGTGTCTAGCTTACTAAAAGAAAAAACGTGTACATAATATTTAAGATGCTGAGTATTTCATAGGAAAGCTGAATGCTGCTGTAAAGTGCTCTTTAAGTCTTTTTTTTTTAAATCCCCTTCTAATGATTGAAACTAGGGGAATTTCAGGGGACAGAGATGGGATTTGTTGTATGATAAACTTAAGTAGTTTTAGTCTTTCTATATTGAGAAGCAGTGGTTGGGGTATTTAAAAAAAATGGCTGGCTATACTTGTTTTCCTTCATGGTAATAAATTCGCCATAACTTGGTAACATGGACTTGCCCCTACAGGTAGTTGTCAATAATTTTGAAATAATAAGGTCTTGCCTAGGTTCTGATGATTCAAACCTGTACTACTGAATATTAAAAGCAAGACAGACTAAGCTCTCTTGCAATAACCTTGAAGGAGTAATTTTTAAACATACAGAGAGGTAACTTGACTGTATATGTTGCATCCTGTGTCACCTCCCTCCATACTGATATTTGATAAAGACTTTATATGAAACTTGTAAAGCAGAATCAGAGTTCCTCTTGGGGAAGTGTCAAACCTTCAGGATGAGGAGTCCTAAGTGAATAGTACCAAAGCATCACCACATGGTAGAGAACACACTATTAAAAATGTTATCTGAGAAACACGGTGTGCAAATCTTCAGGATGGCACAAGTGAAAAGGTGAATGCTTCTTGGGGCACATTTCTTAGAGGGCTTGTTGAGTGTGTAAATAATTGACTCGATTGAAAATGACCGGTGACTTCATTGAAAATCTGCACAATTCAGTTTTAGTTCTGGATTACTTCAGTTGACCTTCGTGACGGTTTTATCTGTGTAGAGTGGTTGTTTGACTTGTTTTAGCCTATTAGGGTTTTGGGTTTTTTTTCACTATATTAAAGTTTAATTTTACTAAAAGAAAAGAGGTGTGTGTGTGTGTGAATGCTGAGTGGGTTGCTTTTGGTTTGGCTTCTTTTAGTCAGGCTTTGTCCTGACGCTGAGATACTAGGTGATAAATCCTGGTCGCGGACCTCTGCGAGACTGAAGTCATCACTAAGAGTTTCTTACTTGAACCCAAACCAGAATGCCCTCATTGCCTCTTTTCTAAAAGTTCAGGAACAGTATATCCCCAATTCAGATTTCATGAGGGAGGATCAGCCTGCCTTACAATAACGTGACTCAATGCTTATTTTTGAAACTGGATTTAAAAAATTGGATGGTATAAATAATGAGTGAGCCACTTTTTATGGGCACCCTGTAGTTTTATAGTTCTTAATCTGAAACTTAAAATTTTATATTTTCTTCCTTTTGGAAAAAACTACAAGCCACCATATGCACAGACTACACAGTGAGTCGGGCCGGCTCTCCCACAGCCGTTGAGGTGTATTCCAAGAGTCCCAGCCATTACCATCTTCCTCCTGAGTTCTTTTGAAAAGGTTTTTAAAATTTTTTTGTACATTTTGGCTGCAGTATTGGTGGTAGAATATACAATAATATGGATCATCTCTACTTCTGTATTTATTTATTTATTACTAGACCTCAACCAGTCTTCTTTTTCCCCTTCCACCTCTCTCTGCCTGTAGGATGTACTGTATGTAGTCATGCACTTTGTATTAATATATTAGAAATCTACAAATCTGTTTTGTACTTTTTATACTGTTGGATACTTACAATCAAAACTTTTACTAGGGTATTGAATAAATTTAGTCTTATTAGAAAATAAAAAAAAAATCACCTACTAATATTATATTGCTATCTGTTTCTCCCTGTAGGTCTGTAGGTCTATTAATATTTGCTTCATATATTTAGTTGCTCCTATGTTGGGTGCATAAATATTGACAAGTGTTATATCTTCTTGTTGTATACCTTCTTTAGCTGTGTCCAAAAATATTGCCATGTTATGTTTTCATTTTCATGTATCTCAGAGTATTATCTAATATCCATTGTTATTTCTTATTTGACCAGTTAAACATTTAGGAGTATGTTGTTCAATTTCCACTTATTTTTAGTTTCTCAAATTTGATTTTGTCATTGGTTTCTAATTTAATTGTGTTGTGGTTGAAAAACATAATTTCTATGTACTAGCCACTCATAAAAATTTTATATTTATTAATTCATTAAATTCTCATAAGAACTACATGAGGCAGTACTTTCAGTATCCACATTTTACTCAAAGGAAACTTAGATGCAAAACACAAAGAAGGGATTTATGCAAGGCCCTCATGTTGGAACCTTGTGGTGGGAGCTGTGATGGACTCCAGGTAACCTCCTTCAGAGCCTATTGTTAGTCATCCTTTACTTAGACATTCCTTTAATAAGGGATAATTGGGTTAATTTTAGTTTGTTCACTCTTATGAACAAAGACTCCATAAACAAAAATTGTTGCTCAATTATTTTTGTGAGAAACTAGAACTGAAAACTTTTTTCAGAGATAAAAATATTTTTCCATTTCTAATAAATATTGCTAAGCTATTGTTAGTGCACATTCTTCTGAATTTGCTTGATTGATTAATGAACAGCCAATTTTTATGTCACTTATAAAAATTCACTCAAGAAGTACCTGAGATGATCAACTAATTGTTATAGAGTACATACATATATATGCACCAAAACACATTTAAGTACTTAATATAGACTTCAGAATCATGAATAAAATTTTAGTAAGTTTAGTCTAGAAGTATTACAATAATGAAAGAGTATGATTAAACAATATTTAAGAATGCAAGTTTGATATTAAGAAATATAATTCATCATATTAAAACAGTAAATGAACTTACTACAAAGCTGCAGTAATCAGAAGAGTGTGTACTGGCATAAAGACATGTAGGCCAGTGGAATAGAATAAAGAGCCCACAAATAAATATTTGCATATATGGTCAAATTATTTTTTTACTGGAATGCCAAGATCATTCAATGGGGAAAGAACAGTCAATCTAACAAATGGTGCTGAGAAAACTAGATATCCACAAACAAAGAATCAAGTGGGATCCTTAAGCTTACAACACATACCTCCCATAAAATGAATCAAAGACCTAAACATAAGAATTCAAACTATAAAAATCTTAGAAGAAAATATAGGAGAAAAGCTTCATGACATTGGATTTGACAATGACTTCTTGGATATGACACCAGGAGCATAGGCAACAAAAATTCATAGAGACGGAAAGTAATGTGGTGGTTGCCAGGGGCTGAGAAGCTGAAATGCAGAGCTGTTTAATGGATGTGGAGTTTCAGTTTGATAAGATGAGGAGTTCAAGAAATATGATTGCAAAAGAATATAAATGTACACAATATATGTAGTATTGAGCTGAATACTTAAAAAGGGTTAAGATGGTAAATTTCAAGTTATCTATATTTTACTACAATTAAAAATATGCATTGCTTTTATGCATAATTTTTATAGCTAAGCAAGGCTCAGCTTAATAAAGAATTTATTTTTGTAGGAAATAAAGCAAATGAAAGAAGCCATGTGTTCATTTTTATATTTGCCAAAAATAATGGATAAAATTCAACATATTTTTCTGATTTAAAAACTCTTCACAAAAACGTAATATAGAAAATGTTACTTAGCTAAACTAGAATTATCTTTTTCAAACTCACTGCTGGTGTCTTCCTTAATTCTGAAGCTTTCAATGTATATGCATAAAATAATATGCAATATAAAGAATCATCACCCTTACTGCTGAAATTTTTAACCCATGAGTCCTTTGTGTATTTTTATAAAATAAAGTTGATTTTAAAAATTTTCAGGCAAAATGTGACATAAGAAAAAAGACCAAAAAATTCCATAGTGGACAACAATAGAGTAGAAATTGATGTATTACATATCAAATATACAATATTTGTATTGTATATGTAATTGTATAAGTAAATGTATCTATAGCTATATTTAAAATACAAATTTATACAGTTAGTGAATATTGAGGAAGAAAACCCAGACTTAAGTTCTAATTTGCTGTATAAACCAAAAATGCAAATGAATTAAGGAATTAAAAGTATATATAAGTATATATATGTGTGCATGTGTGTATATGTATCCATAAATATAAGTATAATTAAAAGTATATATAAGTATATGTGTATGTGTACATACATGTGCACACATGTATACACATATACATGTAAATCATTTATAATTGTATAAATATATATCTTACAAAATATTAATTTATTTCATAACAAGAAAAATGTCCCTGTATTAGATTACATATAAAAACAGAAGCAAAACTTTATGTACTGTGTAATCCTTTCGAAAAATGTATTAATACAAACATAGCTGAAAATGAGAGAAATAAATTTCATAAGTACATCAAAATGTTACAAATTATTTTTCTGAGCCATGTGATTAAAGTTTGATTTTTATTTTCTTTGACATATCTTTACATATTTTCCAAGTCTTTCACAACAAATATTTATTTATTTAATAATTTGAGAAATAAACATTAAGAATAACAATACTTTTTTAGACACTACACAGTGTTTGAAAGAATTGAATTAATTGCTTCTTGGCTGCTTGCCTACTCATTTTTCCCCAGGTTTCTGACTTTACGGGTGCTTAATCTGTCTTGGTGTTTCATCCTGAGTGATATGGCATGTGACCTACTATGGCTGCCTCTCTCTCTCTGCTCACTGAGGAAAGCATGAAGAGAAGATGGAATTCACACCTAAACAGTTATTTCCTTCTGCTTCTCAGGCTCCAAGCTGCTTACAATTCCTGCAGGTCACATGAGGCGCTCACCGGTTACACTCAGAGCATACCTTTCAAGCTGGAAGTTTAACTAGACTCAGCAGGAGATTCTCAGGCTCTTTCAGCTTTTGAATAGCTTAGTTTTTTTACAATTTTACAATTTCTACAAATTCAAATAATCTTATTATTTTTGTGATTTTTACATTAGAACCTGTTACGTCATTCAACACACCTAATATAGCCGTTCTTCCTCACATTCCACTGCAAGGACATAAAAACTGTACAAGTCTCTACCACTATTTCACATCAAACTGTATTGTCCGACAAAATCTCCCATCTGACCTACTTTATGTAAACTTACAAAATGTGGCAGTCAACAAATCTATTTCTCTCTCCTTAGGTACCTATTAGGGAATTGGTTTTCTGTCCCTTTGAATTTTACCCAAGATAACCCCTTAAATGCAACAAAGCCAAATCTCAAAGGTAAATTAATAAAATCAAAGTAAAGATAGACTAAAGAGAGACATGTTAAACTCACAGACAAAATAAGTGATAAGATTTTTAAATATTCAGAAACTATTTTAGCTATTTGGG